CTTACCTGTAAAATAGTTAACGTAGAATGTATATATGCGTGGCGTAGCAAAGTTACTTCCAGACGTAAATAGAACGCCCGCCTGCATGCGCCGAGCAGGCTGGGTGACCTGACCTGCCGGACGTTCTTTAGCTCCGCCCATCACGCACAGCGCGGTCGTACGTACACTGAACTCAGCTCTTTGCCCGAGCGTTACTCTTGACACACTAGAACTGTTCTCAGGCGCCGACACTGTTGTTCTTCGGCAACACAAGCAAGAATTTTCGAACGAAAGCCGCCATAGTGGAAAATCAGATGACCTTTTGCCTGACCCTTTGCCACTCCAGCGTCATCATGGGGCGGTGACCCCGCCTGATGACCCAGCGTATGTCACCATCCATGAGAATCGCTGTGCTATCGTGGAAGGCGTCGGCTGTAGGACCGGCCGACTACGCCCTTCCGATATGTATCGATGGAAGGTGGTCCCCTTTTCACGATAGTTATCGTGGAAGGCGATCGAAGGGGGTGAATTTACAATATCTCGACCTTTCTTACAATGAAATCCCTGATTGGTATAATTATAATCAACCATGTGGGCAATCTTTAGAAACACTTAGACTGGATAAAAACTTAATGAAACAAGTACAACCTTTAGCACAAGGAAAAATGAAAAACTTGAAAACGTTAACTATGTCCAATAACAAAATCCAGTCTATCGAAACAGGACAATTGGCAGGGTTGGACCAGCTGGAACATTTAGATCTCAGTCATAACGAGATCAACACCGCCATGCCATCCGCCTTCCGTGGACTATCGCGGCTACAATTCCTGGATCTCAGTGAAAACAAGATTAAGTATATACCAGAGATGACATTTGAAGGTTTAGAAAGCCTCGCACATCTAAACATGAAAGCCAACAGCATAGCAGTGATTGGGGACGCCTTTCAGCGTCTGTACGGGTTGAGGCACCTGAATCTGAGGAGCAACAGGTTGGCTGTGTTAAATCAAACCGCATTGGGTCCTGTTGTCTACCGGTTAGAGACTATCGACATTGCAGACAACCCGTTTCTGTGTGATTGTAAGTTAATGTGGTTTGTTGAGTGGGCCCTGGATAAATACGACAGGGTAGCAAACTTGTACAACCCCTATCCTTACTTTGATCGAGGGTACACATGTTCCCGTCCGGCTGAATTGCTTCGAAAGCGTTTGATAGACGGATTGACGCAGGAAGAACACTCGAGCGACAGACAGGATTCATCAGTGCGAAAGTTCTTCGACAGAGACTGTAGTCATGGATTCCGGCCCAACCGCCTCCTGGCTTGTGTACTTGCCTCTTCGGGCATCTTCGTCGCCATGATGACCATTTTCCTGGTCGACTACCACGTCGGCCGTGTTCAGTACTACCTGTGGATGTTAGCCAAGTGGAGGAGACCGAAGATTGGAGAAGTAAAGAACCAAGAGCCGCCCAGATACACACACGATGCTTTTCTTGCCTACAACAACCGGGACGTCGGGTGGGTTATACATCAAGCGATAGAGAATCTGGAACCTGACTACAGTCTGGTCATACACGAAAGGGACTTTGCAGTGGGTGCTCCCATTGTAGAAAACATCGCGGATGCCGTGGAAAACAGCCGTAGAACCGTCTGCCTCATCAGCAGGAACTTCCTGAAGAGTAAGTGGTGCGAGTACGAGTTCCAGCTGGCCCAGTACCACATGTTTGAGGAGGGCGGAGGAGTGCGTCTCATCCTGGTGTTTCTGGAGAAGATTCCCAACCGAATGCTGAAACAGTTCCGCCATCTGAACGCTGTGGTTAAGAGGGACACGTACCTGATGTGGCCACACGACGTGCGGAAAAGGCCGCTGTTCTGGAGGCGGCTGCGAGACGCTCTGGGCAATCCTCTACCCCGTGACCCAGAGCATCAACAGGAGGTACAAGATCCGGAACGGAACATTCCGGAACAGCAAGCTCCGGGACGGTACATTCCGGAACAGCAAGCTCCGGGACGGTACATTCCGGAACAGCAAGCTCCGGGACGGTACATTCCGGAACAGCAAGCTCCGGGACGGCACATTCCGGAACAGCAAGAACAGGCTCCAGTCAGGAACATTGTGGAAGTGCAGGTCCATGCCCCCGTGCGGAACATTCCGGAAATGCAAAATGAATTAGTCCCAGATCCAGACAACCAGTGGTTTGGAGATGGGGATGGCATTCCCCTTGTACCACTGTAGATTACGATCAAGTTGACCAGACTGTTATTGTTTTGGAGTACGTTCTGTGATAATCTCCAAGCATATTCTGTGGAGCAAGGGCAGTCTATATCAATTTTAATTGATATAGACTATACTGCCATTGCTCCACAGAATACTTGTATGCTTGAAAATTAGTTCTGCGATTCCTTCCATGGAAAAGCGGTTACTATTCCAGAAATGGCGTCCTTTTTTGTAAAGTCTACTCTGTACCTAATATGTAGTTTTACTTAAAACCTAGACGATAACTGTATCAGATAGTAAGTTTTTGAATTATTGGAACTGTTATATCTTTTAATCTCATATTTCTATATTAACCACCATATCTTTTCATATAATTTCTTTTGCAAATAGCCTTCGGGTATGACCTTGTTATAATGTTCACTACTGACCTTTACCTGATGTATTTGAATGCCTTTATCAAAATGACATGTGCATGTGTATATATACACTGTAAGGTACTCTGTACTATATTTAACCCTAACCACAATTATATTTACTGTATTATGTGTATTATGTGTATATGTACTGTATTTAGTGTATCGATAAAAGTTTCATGAATACATTTGATTTATGTGTGATTCGAATTGAAAGAAAGAAGGCGAATTAATAGTTCTTTGTGGTGTAATATGAAGTCATGACTTTGACCATGAGATTCCAACCGTGACTGTTAACTTCATGGTCAGAATCGTAGGAACATTATTGTACTTATGCAATTTTATCATTTTCTGTGTTAGTCTGGAGCCCAGCCGCCTCCCACGGTCACGACCCCCTCCTGAACTCCAAGCAGATCATACGGTGACAAGGCAGTATCCATAGGCCAGAGAAGTGCCAATTAGCCTTCGATGGCTAATAGACACTCCTATGACCAATGGATACTGCCTTGGTGGCGGTGGCGTATTGAATACTGTCCTATATTCTATCCTGATACTGTCTTGTAGCCGCCAAAAGGTCTGCTTGGAGATTAGGTGTTTCAGACGACAGACGGCCGACCCTTCGCACTCTCCTGCCCACCGCCGCTCCAGACATCCAGGCTTGTGAGCAGGCCGCAGACAGACGGGTGGTTCAGACGACAGACGGCCGACTCTTCGCACACTCCTCCCCCACCGCCGCTCCAACTCTTCTCACAGACTTCATATTGCTGTTCCAAAACAAGCCGCTAGGGGACCCAAACTCATGTCACTTCTACCCATATACCAAGTTTCATGACAACGCATGTTAAGCTTCCTGAGTTATGCTGTTCACAGACAGACAAACAGACAAACGGACAGACGGACAAACAGACGGACAAATTCTACTGAAAACATAACCTTCTTGGCGAAGGT